AATAGAAGGGGTGTGTATACATAGGGAGATAGCTTAGGAGGCAGCAGTGCATGGGAGGGAGGGACACAGGGAAGAGGTAACTAAGGGAAGGCAGTCGGAGGGGAGGTGTTGCACTGTGGGAAGTTCCAGTCAAATGTCATGAGACAAAGTATGTGAGCTGCTGTATGGAAAATGAATTTGCTCTGTAAACTTTACCCAAATCACAATAAAAATTTAAAGGAAAATTAAAAAGTTCATTTAAAAAATTTTTAAGTAAATATTGGATGACTATTAAAAATAAAAAAAAGTGTCATGTTAATCTGGAAAAGAAGGATTGAACATAATTACATATATATCCTAGAAGGTTGTTGTTATGTTGTTAGGTGCCGTCAAGTCATTTCCAACTCATAGCGACCCCATGCACAGCAGAACGAAACACCAGCCGATCCCGTACCAGCTCCACGATCCTTGAGCCCATTGTTGCAGCTACTGTGTCAATTCATCTCGTCGAAGGCCTTCCCCTCTTTTGTCGACCCTCCATCTTACCAAGCATGACATCCTTCTCCAGGGAATGGTCCCTTCTGGCAACATGACCAAAGCAGGTGAGACGAAGTCTGGCCATCCTCGCTTCCAATGAGCATCTTGGCTGCACTTCCTCCAGGACAGATCTGTTAGTTCTTTTGGCAGTCCATGGTACCTTTAGCATTCTTCGCCAGCACCACAACTCAAAAGCATCAACTCTTCTTCGGTCTTCCTTGTTCATTGTCCAGCTCTCACATGCATAGGAGGTGATTGGAAATACATGACTTGTGTCAGGCGCACTTTAATCCTCAAGGAGATATCCTTGCTCCTCAGCACTTGAAAGAGTTCCTTCGCAGCCAACCTGCCCAGTGCTACATGTCGTCTGATGTCCTGACTGATGCTTCTATTGGCCTCGATTGTAGAACCAAGCAACGTGAATTCTTGGACAACCTCAATCTTTTCTCCATTTATCGTGATGCTGCTTATTGGTCCAATTGTGAGGATTTTTGTCCTCTTTATATTGAGATGTAATCCATACTGCAGACTGTGTTCCTCAGTCTTCATCAGTAAGTGCCTCAAGTCATCCTCACTTTCA